TACTGGCTATTTGCAAACCCCTAATATGAATATTGAACAGCCATTAGCTCAAGGTGATATAACAATAAGTCCTCAAATACCCGTGGATGATAGCAAACTAATTTACCATCAAGTACAGGCGGGAGAAACTCTAGCTTCTATTGCTAACGATTATAGCCAAACAATTGAAGAGTTAGAAAAACTCAATAATATCTCTAGGTCATATGTGCTCCAAGAATCTCAGCTGATTAAGATAAAAGCTAGTATGGAATTATTGAACAAGAAAAATAAAGAAAATAGCTTAAAAAGTACTGAGAGAGATTTTGGCCAGTCGAAGGCTCCTGATGCAATATTGCTGACTAGTTCTAAGTTTATTAAGCCGATTGAAGGGAAGGTTGTTACTCGATTTGGTGATCGAACCCTTGCTGGTGAGAGTAAAGGCATTAATATTGCCGCAAAAGAGGGCAGTATAGTCCAATCTATTGCCGCTGGGAAAGTAGCCTTTGCAGGTCATCATAAGAAATTTGGGAACTTATTAATAATCAAATTAGATCAAGGAGATTTGTATGCGGCGTATGCGCACTTAAAGGATCTAATCCTTACGAAAGGCACCCTGGTTACCCAAGGAGAAATAGTAGGACATGTTGGTAATACTGGTGAAGTGAAATTCCCCCAGCTACATTTTGCTATTCGTGAAGGCAAAATCGCTGTTGATCCCCTTAAATATTTTAAATATTAATTACAATATACGAAATGAATAAATCTCGATTAACTATATCATTGTTTTTATTTGCTTTATTCAAGGTTTATACCTTTTTATCTAATAATTCTATCAATAATTTTGTAGAAGGAGGCTTACCATTTAATATAAGATTAGGATTGTTTAAATCAAGGCCTATAGGTTCGGCCGCCCCTCCCAGGAACTTAGCTAAAAATTGTTCGGCCATAGCAAAAAAAGATAGTCTATTAGTAGCCTTAGAAAAACCATGTCCTTCATTTTTATATAGAGCATATATAACAGGGATGTTATGCTTAGTCATTTCTTGAACAATTTGATCTGCTTCAGCCTGTTTTACTCTAACATCATTAACTCCTTGCATTATAAGTAGGGGCTTTACTATCTTACTTGCACATGTTAAAGGAGATACCTGCTTTAACATTTCTCTTTGCTCAGCGGTGTCCCAAGAACCTACTCTTACTTTTAGCTGATTTGCTAGTGGCATCCAGTATCTAGGAATATTTTTTAGTAATGTTACCAGATTAGAAGGTCCTGCAATATCTATACCACAAGCAAAAACCTTAGGAGTAAAGCTAAGTCGAACAAGCGTTGCGTAACCGCCATAGCTTCCGCCCATAATAGCGATTTTTTTAGGATCAGCTATTTTATTGGTAACAGCCCAATTAACAGCATCAATTAAATCATCTTGCATTTTTAAACCCCATTGCCTATTACCAGCATTAAAGAATTGTTTGCCAAAACCTGTAGAACCGCGAAAATTAACGCTTAGGACAGCGTATCCACGATCTGCCAACCATTGATGCACCCAATGCATCCCCCATACTTCCCTGATATGAGGCCCGCCATGCACAAAAAGTACTAATGGTACTGGTTTAAAGGGATATATTTTATTATATAACGTTATATTCTTAGGTAAGGTAATATAATTCACTAAATCTAAATTATCCCGAGACTTAATAACTACAGGGGTCATAGGAGCAAGTTGATATTGTTCTAATGCTGCTTTATTACTAAATAAAAATTTAATTTGTTTTTTGCTCCGATCATATTTATAATATTTAGTTGTGCTAGTATCACTGTAAGATGATAGAATCCAAATCTGGTCATTTAGAGTGCGGTGAGTAATATTGATATTATTTAAATTGATATTCTTAAAATACTCCATATCTTTCTTAATAGTATTGTCTAATATTTTATATGCAGCTTTATCATAGTTAATTGCTACCGCTTGAACTTTCATAGTAGTTGGATGTATTGTAAAAATACTAATATCAGCGCGTGGATCTTCAGCAATTAGTGTTAATGTGTTCTTATTCAAATCTAATATTTTAAGCGCGGTAGTGTTAAGTCCACGGCTATCCAATAAATAAACTTTAGAGCCAGTATTATCAAATCGATACATCCTAGTACCCAGTGTGTCTTCACTAGCTACTTTCATAAAAAAAAGCCAACGCTTATTTTTATATTGAAAATATTCATGTTCCCCTTGGTTATTAATTAATGTAGCAAACCGTATATTTAGATCACGATCAACAATAAAGCTAGAGAATGTATTATTACTGATAATTAAGGTTATACTATAATCTACAAGATTTAATTTATACACATCGTGATATCGTTTATCGCGATTATTTAATCCAATTAATATTTCATTTGGTTTTCTGGCACTCCGACCATAGATTTTAACCTTGGCATTTTGGGGAGTTAATAATTTTGTAATATTAGTTTCTAAGTTATAGCTATAAAGACGAAAATTTTCATCACCATTATTATCTTTTTGATATAAGAGATGCTTATTATCATATCCCCAAAAATAATTCGTAATACCTTCTGGATCATTTGTAACAACTTTAATATTCTCTATATTATTGCTATCAACTATCCACACATTTTGCCTGCTATTTTTTTTTGCTAAATAGCTTATATATTGACCGTTTGGACTAATAGAGACATCAGTTTTATCCAGGGAACCAAATAATATTTGGCGAGGAATAAGTGCCTCTTTATAGTCACGCTCAATATTAACAGCAAATGTACTATCTGCTACCAAAGTAACGCTCCAGCATATAATGATAAAGATAACTTTTAATAACATAATATTTATAGATTTTAGATGATTAGTTGTGATTAATATACGACAATAAATAATATTTCAACTATTTTTAACAAAAATTTCTTGCACTACTGAAAAATTATTGGTACTCTTAATGGTATAAGCTGGTTAGTAAATAATTACTAGTTTATATAATTTATTATAAATAAACAAAACAATGAGGATTTTATGAGACAAGATAGCACTTCAGATCCTGATGATCCTAGCGAATCCAATAACGATACCTGTGGAGTAGGCGGGGATTGTGTAGGGCAAGAGGCAGGACAATTTTAAAGTTAGTTTTAGGAATTTCTAAATTATTTTAACAACAAAACAATGAGGATTTTATGAGTAAAGATAATAGCCAGGGAAGTAGCAGCGTAAGTACTGGCGATACATATAATGATTCATTCTGCTCTAGTGATGGCGGGGGATTTGATACCTGTACACCAGCAGGCGACAGTAAGGATACCGGCCAAAATGATAGTAATAGTTAATACTTGTACAACATTGACAAGTCCCCACCGTATTTAGGTGACATTAGAACACTTAAGTTGCCATAAAAAAATAATTACCAACTAATATTTTTATGACAATTTAAGTGTTTTCGTAGAATTACTCTATAATTTATTAACCTTCCATTAATTGTTTACGAGCAACTTTTCTTTTTCTTCTTTCTGTTTCTTGATCTTTTCTAACACGTTTTACAGAAGGGGGTTCGTAGAAACGAGACATTTTCATCGAACGGAACACAAGCTCTCTTTGCATTTTTCTTTTTAAATTTTTAATCGCTTGTTCGCCGTTTCCTGCATGAACGTTCACTAATATCACTTTTAATTACCCCCTTTTAGTGTAAATAGATTGTTGCAATGATGCTAATATTATCTATATAATAAGCTGTTATGTCAAGATGAAAAGTTGAGTTATGAGCGATATTGAGCTAAAGCACCATCACTTAAAAGTACTATTTACTCAAGCCTTAGCACATTTACTATTTTTTGATGAATGGGGAGATAATTTATTATTAGAGGCAGAAGCGCAATGTGGTTTTGCAGAAGGGTACCATCATATCATTTTTCCAAATGGTATAATAGAAATTATTGATTTTTTAGAAAATCAATATGATCAAAAAATGCTGGAGTTATTAGCTGAATATGAGGCGCCTATTAAAATAAGAGACAGAATCGCTTTAGCTTTAAAGATTAGAATTAAAAATTATGTCCCTAAACTTGTGCATTTAAAAAATGGTATTTATTATGCTCGACCAACAAATACTATAACTGCTATTAAAATAGCGTTGCGTACCTGCAATTTAATTTGGCGGTATGCCGGTGATCAATCAATAGATCATAATTATTACACTAAGAGGAGTTTATTATTAGGGGTATACGTAACTTCAATTATTTATTACCTTCAAGATGATTCAGAAAATAGTGTAGAGACGGATCAATATATTATGGAATCTTTGTCTGATATAATTAACATCACTTCTAAGTTTAAGAGTATTTTTACCTTGCCAAAGCTAGTAGACATACCGATTATTCGCCTATTTTCTTAATAATTAAAATTTATAATATGACTGATAAATATTACCCAGATGTTAAATCTAATGTACATTTTCCTACTATTGAGCAAAAAATTCTCACTTATTGGCAAAAAAATAATATTTTTCAAAAATCAATAGAAGCAAGGCCTAGAATAAAAGACGGTACAAATAATGAATTTGTTTTCTATGATGGCCCTCCTTTTGCGAATGGCCTGCCCCACTACGGTCACCTTCTAACTGGCTTTATTAAAGATGTATATGCTCGTTATCAAACTAGTATAGGCAAAAGAGTAGAAAGGCGTTTTGGTTGGGATTGCCACGGCCTACCAGCTGAGATGCAGACAGAAAAGGAATTAGGCATTTCGGGGAGAACAGCAATTATTAATTTCGGTATTGAGAAATTTAACCAACATTGTAAATCTTCAGTGATGAAATATGCTGATCAATGGCACGAATATGTCACTAAGCAAGCAAGATGGGTAGATTTTACTAATTCCTATAAAACTATGGATAAAGACTTTATGGAGTCTGTGTTCTGGGCTTTTANTTCTCAATACCGAAATTAATAATTGCTGTTCTCCCCGAAATGCCTAATTCATGGGCTTGTGAAACTCCCTTATCTAATTTTGAAACTAGACTAGATAATTCTTACCGAGAAAGAACAGATAAAGCAGTTACTGTAAGTTTTGTGCTTAACGAGAAATTATCAAGTTTTCCTGGATATGATGAATATCGAATGCTCGCTTGGACTACTACGCCCTGGACTCTTCCTTCCAACTTAGGATTAGCGATTGGGAAGGATATGGAATATGTTTTAGTACCAAAGGAAAAAACTTGTTATATCTTAGCTAAATTCGCTTTAGCTAAGTATTGTAAGGAATTAGGGGTTAGTGGAGAAGAAAATTATGCTACAATAAAAGGGGAAGAGTTAGCCAGGTTAAACCTGACATACCAACCATTATTTGATTATTTTGCTAATCACCCTAAAGCTTTCAAAATACTTGCGGGCGAGTTTGTAGTTGAAGGGGAAGGCAGCGGTATTGTGCATATGGCTCCTGGCTTTGGTGAGGAGGATCAAATTTTATGTGAAGCCCATGGAATAGAGCTAGTGTGTCCCGTAGATAATGCAGGAAAATTTACTCAGGAAGTTTATGATTTTGTCGGAATACAGGTATTTGATGCGAATGACCAAATTATTATTAAGCTAAAAAAGCAGGGCAACTGGTTAAAAACAGAGCAATATATTCATAATTATCCCCATTGCTGGAGGACAGATACTCCTCTTATCTACAAAGCGGTGCCTTCCTGGTATGTCAAAGTTACAGAGTTTAAACATAAAATGGTAGAACTTAATCAGCAAATTAATTGGATTCCTTTGCATATTAAAGATAACTTATTTGGCAAATGGCTAGAAAATGCAAGAGACTGGTCAATTAGTCGCAATAGATTTTGGGGCACGCCACTGCCGGTGTGGAAATCGGATAATCCTGCCTATCCTAGAATTGATGTATATAGCTCAATACAAGAGCTGGAAGAGGATTTTGGCGTTAAAATAGTTGACCTACATAGACCTTTCATTGATCAATTAACTCGCAAAAATCCTTCAGATCCAACTGGCCAATCAACAATGCGTAGGATTACAGATGTCTTTGATTGTTGTTTTGAAAGTGGATCTATGCCGTATGCCCAGGTACATTATCCCTTTGAAAATAAAGATTGGTTTGAGAATCATTTCCCCGCTGATTTTATAGTGGAATATTCTGCCCAAACTAGAGGCTGGTTTTATACTTTAATGGTGTTATCTACTGCCTTATTTGAGCAACCGCCTTTTTTAAACTGCATTTGTCATGGAGTAATATTAGATAGTACTGGGCAAAAATTATCAAAGCGCTTAAATAATTATGCTGATCCATTAGAATTATTTGATAAATATGGCTCTGATGCTTTAAGAGTAACTATGTTATCTTCAAGTGTAGTGAAAGGCCAGGAATTGTTGATCGATAAAGACGGTCAGATGGTATATGAGACATTGCGATTATTTATAAAGCCAATTTGGAATGCTTATCATTTCTTTACCCTATATGCTAATGCTGATGGTATTAAAGCTGAATTGAATCTCACTTCTTTAAATATTTTGGACCTATACATATTATCAAAGCTCAAAATAGCAGTGCAAAAGATTAAGCAAGGGCTGGATAATTTTGATACGCAGATAGCTTATAATAGTGTCGCTGATTTTTTTGAAGTATTAAATAATTGGTATATTAGAAGAAGTAGAAATCGCTTTTGGAAAAGTGCAAAAGATCAAGATAAGAATAGTGCTTATGCTACCTTGTATAGTTGTTTAGAAATTATGGCTAGGGCTATGGCCTCTTTATTACCTTTAATTTCAGAGGAAATTTATTTAGGAATAACCGGGTCAAAGCAAGTTGACCACAGCGTTCATTTAACAGATTTTCCTGACCTTGCAATGTTAGCTATAGATTATGATTTAGTAAAAAATATGGATCAAATCTTGGATATTTGTACCAATGCCTTATTTATCAGAAATACAGAAAATATTCGCACTCGTCAACCGCTGAGCAGCCTGACAATTATCAGAGCAAATAGTATGTCCTTAGTAAAGTTTGTAGCTAAAGGGTGTGTAGCACAGAGCTATTATAATTAACATAAATAGTGATTTATATTAATTAATAGATAAACAAAGAATATGTAAGAGATTCCACTCCGAAATATGCGAAAGAATAATAATATTGATGGTAATAAGACAAACCTTAGCTTACAAAAAAACTGAACGCGTCAATGGCTCTATTGAAGCCGATAACTTGATAAGTATAGTTTGTAAGTAGCGAATTCCATCAGGGCTATAGAGTAATTTTTATCTGTATTATTAAAAATATTAATAAAATTTATTTTGCTATAAGTCGGATACATGACTGCATTTGCTTTTTTTGCTATTGACGTTATTTTTTTCTTGCATTTTACAGGAGGTCCATACATGACGCGTATGACTGAAGTATCGGTGTGGAGTAGTGCTAGTAGTATTTATGACAATGAAAGAAAATATAAGGTTGACAAAATTACAATAGGAAAGCAAAGACCGAATGTAGAATTATTGATCTTAGATAAAAAGATAAGAATGTTGCCGGTAGGGATAAAGGGAGAAATATATATAGGAGGAAAAGGACTTGCTAGAGGATATATTAATAGAGCAGATTTGACAGCTGAGAGATTTATAGCGAATCCATTTACTAATGGTGAACGTTTATATAAAACAGGAGATATAGGGCGGTATTTACACGATGGTAATATTGAATATTTGGGGAGGTATGATGAGCAAGTAAAGATTAGGGGCTATAGAATTGAATTAGGAGAAATTGAAGAAGTACTGAATAAGTATGATTATATTAATACAGCCATAGTAATCACAAAAAAAATTGCCTAGTGATACATTAGTATTAAATTCTTTATGAATCTTGATCACTA